AAAAAAAAAAAAATCGACAGTCAGTACACCAATAAAACCAAATAAAAATAAAGCAAAATTGAAAAATATAGAAACTGCGGCCATTTTTCGAATCATTTGACAATGTCAGAAATTTGTCGGTCATGGCACAAGAATAAGCAGGACTGTTTCTGAAATATTTATAGTTAGTCGGGTTCTATCGTAAATAACATCAATCATAGGGACGAATTCATAAAACGGGAAACAAGATATAACACCTGTGACAACTCCATTGAAGCAGGTGTAGCAAAGAAGGCTCCCTCGTCGAGCGGAGGAGATGGAAGACCTTCATCTTCTTCGACGGCAGATGTTTTTACGGACTCGGTTGTGGCCTCGGCACCTTTTTAGAGGTATTTTTGGAAGCTTATTAAATTATACAAAAAAAAAATAATAATAATCGAGAAGACATTCTAAGAATAATAAATGAACTTTTAATTGCAAGTCACCTGCAATTGCTGTCGTCGCATTAACCCACTCGTCGACCATGATTTTCCAATTACTGCATGATTTATTCGACTGTTTGTGAAAGAATTTTCTACTTGTAAATACTGACTCACAGAAAAAAAAAAAAAGGCTAACCTCGACTTTTTCAGAAATGACAAGAACTAAGGCGGTAGATTCAAATAAAAAAAAAAAAAAAGAATCTCAAAATAGGGACATAATTTTCCTTCTATGCATAAACTAACACCATGAGAATGTTGTAGAAAACAATAATTGTTCCGGTTTTCCTAAAACAAAATAACACTGGAAAGACTTACTTCTCTTTAGCACGACACATCAAAGTTGAAGCTAATGCAAAAGCAATATGATATCAACTTCTTTATCACTTATACTCACATTTTTTACATAAAAGAAGTAGGATTGAATTAATAATCAACAAGATAACGGTCAAAAAGTACACTTGACGTGCGTAACAAGCATTAATAATCAAAGGCCTTGAGGTGAAAAACATACTTGATTAATGTCCTTGAAAGATCCCGGATTTCGATTGATCTATGCTTACGCAGGGCATTAACAGATTTACCGATTTCTGTCGTCTGTAAAAGAGACAAAATCAATCAATAATGGTTAATGATAAAACGTGTAACACGGTTAAGTGCAACAATCAACCAGCAAATAGTCATAAAAACAAAGGCAAAATTTTCAACAGAACCTTTAGAGTCTCCACAGACAGATGCATCAACTGAAGCCTTCTCAGCGAATCAAACAACACCTCATCTGACTGCAACCAACGAAAACAAAAATATATATATAAAAGAAGAAACGAAAAAAAGGGGCAATGATTAAAACCAGAAACTGCCATAAAGTATAAACCAACCACAACCCATCAATCACACAAGGAAACAACACTAAATATGATCATAAACACATCAACAGAGCATCTTATTAGTGAAGATAAGCCAAAGGCCTCAAATCCGAAAGTGCAAATCCAGTAAAACCAAATCAAGAATCAAGTAAAGCGTTTCGAATCCGTACATCATATCACATACATCCATTCAAACTGAAAAACAAAGCAAACAATAGACATCCCATCTTCACAATCATGAAGGAAAGCAATAAAAGGTCATCCAATTTCACTTCCATTAATTAAACAAAAAAAAGGAAAAACAAAAATAAACACAAACCTCATGCTCCCCATTATCAACAATTCCTCTTATCCTCAAAACCTCCTCATAAAACCGAGCAGCCTCCTCAAGCTCATCGGTCAAAGCTTCGGCATCGTGTTTATTCAAATTCATCTCCACAATCTCCTTATGATCATCATCATCATCATCATCATTATCATTATCTCTTCTCCTGTTCAGTTTCCTCTCTTGAGTATCTTTACTTCCTCCTACCTCAACAATACCACTTTTGCACTTATCATCATCATCATCATCATCATCATCATAACCATTCTTTTCTGCACAGTCCCTTTTGGGCACATTCAACTCAACTCGATCACACCCAAAACACTTGGTGATTTTACAAGTAAAGAGCATCTCAGCTATTCGATCCCTCTTCACTTTGAATTCGTAAGGGCTATCCGAAGCAGCTACCATTATTGCATGCTCGATTATAGCAAATATGTCCGAATTCGCACCTCTGAAATAATCCCTCCACTTATCAAGGCCAATTGAAGTGTCGGCCATAGTTATAAACAGAGCCCAGACTAAGAAAAGGGGTTTCTGTTAGAGTTTGTTGAAACCCAACACCTGATAAACTCCCAGATCGCTAAAGACTGGTTTTTTATTGCAAATTTTTTGTTTTCAATGAGAAAAACTCATAGCCCAGAAATTTTGATGGGGCTAACAGAAGAAATAAATCGAAAATATGTAACAAAAACTACAAAGCAAGCCAGAGATGAAGATGAAGTCTGAAGAGTGATGATATTCAAGCAGCAGTATAGGCAAATTTTTTTCCTTTTTTTACGAAAAAATACCTAAATATTGTTCTGCAAACCGCTCCAAAAAATCAAGTAAAAGCTGGAAAAAAGAAGTAATAATAATAATGATCTAAAGGGAGAGTTTGTTTGAGAAAATGAAAACTGAAAATGAAGCAATCAATCCACTGAAATCAATAGAGAAGTTCAGAAGAGAAGCTTGCCGATTTAGGAATCCAGAAAAGAGTGAACGCCAAAAGTCTCTCTGCATAGAGAGTGCGAATACAATGTAATGCTGAGTGCTATGCTAACAAACCGTGAAAAATAAAAAAGAAAGAAAAAGGAAAAAGAAAAAACAAATTTTCTCGAATTTTGTTTGTTTGTTTTTATATGTCGCATCGTCTATCTTATCTAACTCTACGTAGATTTAATGATTAAAATACCCAACGAAATGGTAGTATAACGAAACCGTATAGCATTTTTGTAATAATACATCTGATATACTACGTATTACTTGCACAATAGTAACACAATATACAATAGAGTATATAGACATTATCATATCATGATTTTTGTAAATAAGTATGAGATAAGCAATTAGATATTCTTTAATCACATTCTATGTGACATATCTTGTAAAGAAAATGTATATTTATACGACAAAATAATATATAATTATTTATATTTATAATGATATTTTTTTATTTAGATTGTACTTTAGAGTATCTAAATTTGTTAAAAACAAATATGATTACATAATAATAATTTAATTATTCTTTATTCTGGTAATTTTTTTTTTCATTTGATAAAAGGTAGTGAATAATTAATGATTACTTTAATGTTGTAGCAATGAAGAGTTTTATAACTATATTTATTTTATTTTATTTTATTTGAGTCGGTACAAAAATCTCGTTGTAATTGGGATAGTGGAATAAAGTTGGGTAATGAATAAAATGATGTTAATAAAATGATAATATTTAATTTATTGTGATAGCAGGAATAATAAATTAATAATGAATAATTATAAATATGTGAGTAGGTTAATAGTAGATTTTATAAATCAATATTTAGTAATAAATATTTTGTAATTTTAAAAACAATTACTAAAAACATAAATGGAGTAAAATAATAGATAAGTCATTTATTTTTTATTAATGGATATGGATGAACTAATAAAATAGAATACATAGGCACTCAAATATTTTTTAAGAAGTTTGTTTAAAAAAGTTCTAATTTTGATTTTTTTGTTAATGAGAGTTGTTAACCCACTTTTCAAGGAAGTCTCTTGTTCTTTTCTTTTTTAATAATAACATTTAGATTTTATAGTCAATTTATTCATCATTCTTTATGAAAACTACCAAATATAAATTATTATTAACATGAACATTAACACAAAAGCCCATCATAAAAGTGTTTAAATTTAAATTAATTAGAAGAACACTCATAGGGTGGTCTTTGTAGGTTATAGTTTAATGGAAAGTGTAAACCCTATTTTCCGTTTTCATTTTATGTGAATGGAAAATTTATAATTTTTTTTTAAATGAACAAGAAATTAATACTAAGTTGTATATATAGAAACTAAACATAAGTTTAAAACAATTGAGTTCAACATGTTTGGATGGGAAAGTCACTAAATCTAGAATGGAAGTCATATTAAATATGTTGAAACGTTGGTGTAACTTCGTGTTAGTAAATAATTTTGGACAGAATTGTTAAATAAAATTACTCGCTCATAAGTTTGACTTTACTCTTTTTAGTATGAGTTTGGTACAAACAAGCCGAGCTTAAACTTGCTAATGTTCGAGCAATTAACGAGTCGTCATTAAGAATCAAAAAAATAAGATTTTTTACGGAATTTTTTAAACTTTTATAACTCATTAACGAGCCGGCCTCCGAATTTTTTATCAGCTCGAATCAACATAGGTTTGAGTCTGAACACGAGTATCAAGAGCTCCAGTTTGGCTCGTCTTGTAAACGACCTCTAGTTTTGAATAAGCTTAAGTACTTTAAATTATATTCTTATCTCATTTTGCAAAGTGTATAAGAAAGTAAAAAACCATTAATAAGAGTCTTAGAAGTTTTTTCTAAAAAGAAGGTAATAGAATCACCTTTTTTTCTTAATTTTTGCAATTGCTTTCATTTAACTCATTTATATGTGACATATAACCTTGCATCGTCTTTCACACAAAAACTATTATTTGACAAAAAGACAAAAATGAAACATGATAATCTCTCTTGAGGACCCTTAACGATTCCTCTTTTTACTACCAACACATGATCTTTTGGGCAAAACTTCGAACTTACAAAATAAACCGACTAAGAGCGTGTTTAATAAGAAACATAAGCTAGTTTATAGTTTACTTATTAGTTTTTTTTTTTTTTTTTGGTACATGACATTTATCATATTTTCATGCATTATGAGTGATATACTGTCATGTTTAACCGTGTTTATCGTGGGATTGTGCACCACCTTGTTTTATTTATTAATCTATGATATAAGTGTATTTGTCGTTGGTTTTGCAGGAAATATGCCCGGAAAAGCGTTAAATATAGAATCGGGACGAAAAACGACAAAAACAAGGAGTAGATGAGTCACACGACTCGTGTGAGTAGGTGACACGAGTCGTGTGGGTTGAAAAGATGACGAAACTGAGGATTTTTGCTTCGGCTTTTTCACACGATCTGTGTCACTTGTCGTGTGACCTCACACGGGTCGTGTGACCCGGTCGTGTGACAAGTCGTGTGAGTCTGGGAGTTGGCCGAAAGTTCGAGGAAAGTCACACGACTCGTGTGGCATGTGACACGGGTGTGACCCGGTCGTGTGACAAGTCGTGTGAGTCTGGGAGTTGGCCGAAAGTTCGAGGAAAGTCACACGACTCGTGTGGCATGTGACACGGGTTGTGTGACGCGCAGAGTGACCAGCGGGAAATAGGATTCCTACGCGATTTTGTTCCTTTTTCGACCCATATTTGCCCTACAGTATATAAAGAACTTGGAGAACACGGTTTTGGGACTTTTGACACCATTGGAGGCCTAGAGAAAGCACGAAACATACGAGGGATTCGAGGAAGTCAAGATTGAAGATCCGGGAACTAACGGCAACAATAGTTCTTCTTTCTTTTCTCTTTTTCTTCTTCATTGAACTCATGGATTTATTTATTTTGAGTATTGAGAATATGTTTAGTAGCTAAATCTCTTTGAGATTCTAGGATTTGCGAGTACTCGGATTATTTTATGAAGTGATTTTGTTTATTCATTATGGTCTATCTTTCGTTTATCAATTTCTTGTGATTATATGAATTGTGTGAATGTAGGGCCCGTATTTATGCATATTTTTGATTGGCTTGAGACCGAGAGAAGATAGTTGATTGCTAGAATTGGGAAATTCATAACGTAAGAGACTAAACAGACCGAGAGGTTGATAGAATCTTGCGAGGGAACTAGAATCTTAGGAGCTTATGGGAGTTAGTTGTTCATCTTGAGACCGAGAGGAGATAGATAACAATTAATATTTATGATTTAACTTGTTCGAGAGAAATGTGTAAATTACTTTAGCGATTATCCCTACGATTGGTAGAATTAAATAAGGTTTGAATGAATAAGAAAACTTCGCTAGAATAATCCCGAGGAAAGCATAGCCTAGAATCTATTTTCTCATACTTGATTTATTTAGAATAAGCCTTCTTTAATGTTAAGAATTTATTTTGCATCCATTCTTTAGTTTAGAACAAAATCACCATTCAAATTCTAGTTAGTCTAAATAATATTTAATGGTCTATATTTTGGTACTTAATTATTTAGCAACAATCTCTGTGGAATACGACCTCGCTCGCCGCTTTCTACAGCTACACCGTACACTTGCGGGTAGTGAAAATATTTTGCGAACAGTACAATGAAGGAGGCATGAGGCCTATGTTAGGACTCGACGGGGATACGACACCCCAATTATATCATGCTCTAACCAAGCTCCCAGTCCCGAAAGAGGGGAGACTACTCGTTGTAGCCCAAACGGGATAGAAGCTGCCAGGTTTACTTATTAGTTAACTTATAAGCTTTTTCTATGCAAATAAACTTAGTTTGATAGGACAATTTTTTTTTTTTTGAAAAGCTCGACTTTAGTTCATTAGTTTCTTCAAGCAACAATTGTATTATAAGAGAGAAACATATTTATAGTTAGTATATACTATATAGTTTACTTAGTTATCTTATAAGTTTTCTACATGCAAATAAATTTAGTTTGATTAGAAATACTCCCCTACCTACGGTGGGCACATGTTAATATCTCCACCGTGTAGGTGGCATGCACTCATTGGTGATTTATTTTTTTAAACATATTAACATCACCAATGAGTGTATGTCACCTACGCGGTGGACATATTAACATGTGTCCACCGTGAGTAAGTGAACATTTCTCTTAATTTGATATGACAAATTTTCTTGAAAAGTTCAACTGTAGTTCATAAGTTTCTTTGAATAACTTTGTAAATAAGTTTGTTGAAATTTTTAGTTCAGTTGAATTATCAGCTCATTTTAATCTTGAAATATCATTCAATTTATAACTTCAATAATGAATTCAATTATGTTACTATGATTCTAAATTAATCACTTTCCCATAAATAATTAGTTAATTTCAATGTACAACAAAGTTGCAAGGTCTTGAGTAGAAAAAAACAAAAAAGAAAGATAAAGATAAGGACAAAGATGGGAGGGTTGGGTTGTTTTGTAAAAGACAGGAGACTTTTGGGTTTTGGCATAATATATTATATTGCGGATAAGGGCTCGAAGTTCACGTGAATGGGACGTATTATCAATGTCCACGTGCCACATTATTATTGGGGCGATACAGAATTGAATACGTACATCTCAATACTCGGCAACTCGATATCGCGTGACGTTGTGTACTTGCAGTAGCACTACCGTGTGCCCTGACACACAGCTAAGTGTGTCAGGGCAATTTTGCACGTGCCCTCTCACTCTAAAAATTAAAAAATTTAGAGAGTGTAGTGCACATTACTATTTTTCCTTTTCTAATTGAAAATGAGAGATATTGCATAAATTAAAATATCATTAATTATTTATATGAAAAAAATAAAATAAAATACCAAAATTCATAATTTTTCATTATCTATAAATAGAGACCATATTTGATAGGTTTTGAATACAACTAATTTTTCATTTTTTCGTAATTATTTTATTATACTGACATATAATGAACATGTTACATAATAAGATGAATATGTTTTCAAATAAGATGAACATGTTACAGATTGAAATAATACATATTCATCTTATTTATAACATGTTCATCTCATTTTGGTAACATATTCATCTTATTTTATAACATGTTCACCTTATTGTGTACGTAACATGTTCATCTTATTCTATAACATGTTCATTTTATTATATAACATGTTCATTTTATTATGTAACATGTTCATCTTATTCTAGAACATGTTCATCTAAATTTCATCTGTGAAAATGTAATATTTTCATCTTATTCTATGACATGTTCATTTTACTCTATAACATGTTCATCTTACTCTATATGATGTTCATCTTACTATGTAACATGTTCATCTTATTATAGATTTGCGTCATAATCTTCCAATAAGATAAATTAATTGTAAAAAATGATAAATTAATTGTGTTCCAAAAAATATCAAATGTGGTCTCTATTTGTAGAGAATGGAAAATTATGAATTTTGATATTTTTATTTTTATTTTTTGATACAAAATATGAATGATAATTTAATTTATATAATATGATATATGAAATTCATTACCCAATAGAAATGGGACACATGTCCCATTTAAAAAAAAAAATTACCTCCTTACCTCACGCACTTTTGGGGGTGTATTTCACAAAAGGCTCTGGCACACCTCGCAAAGTGTGACAGGGCACACCTAAACATTTGCGGTGTACTTGTGTTCTCTTGCCAATTGAAACTAACTTTTTTTTTTTATTTTTTGTATCTTCTTTTATTAAATTAATAATGCCTATATAGGTCCTGTTACGGAACTTTCCGTCGGAGTTTGTAACTGTTAAATCAACTATCTCCGACGATTACATATGATCTAACGGTTACAAACCTCGACGGAATGATTCTGTAACGAAATTGTAGCATCTCCCTCATAAATTCTATTTTTTTTTTATCAACTTTACAATCAATAATTAAATATAAACACTACTCACCATTAATTTTTATATTATGCGAAGTGGAAAATACTTGATTATTTAAATTAAATAAGTGTACTCATATCAATCAAATCAAATATAATACTAAAGAATAAGAGTAATGAGCTTTGTGTGTTGTACCACTAATCCAATTTAGAGAAAAATTAATGGAGGGCCTTTGTGTCATTCCATCATTTTAGTGGGGGATGATTGTGATATTTATGAAAGACAGGCTGTACTTTATAATAATTGATACTCCTGATCCCTTATCCTATGTGCTGTAGTTTTGGATAGTGACCAAATTTCAATTATTTGGAACCAATAAATATGGACCGGACTGATGAGTGATGTTTAACCGGGCCAAGTAATTAATGTTGGGCCACTATTTTCATGGATCTCAATTTATCATCATCTTTTCAATCGGGCCAACACATTCAAAACTAGAAGAATCAAGAAAATTGTTGTAGGTTCAGACCTCTCAAGCTTTATTAAATAAACCAATATATGAACTGATTCAATGATTGATTAATTGAACCATAGATGAACTGATTGGACGGTATTAATTTTTTTACATATACATAGTAAATTAAGTAATAAAATTCATATATATATATATATATTATTCTTTTGTTACATATTTAAATTGTTTAAAACATCCAAATATCTAAACTAGTTGATACCATAATTTATACACATCCAATATAATGAAATATGTATTTTATCTATATTTAGAAATATTAAACTACTTTTTCTTTAATAAAAAAAATAAAAAAGTGAACCGATTTAACCGGTTGGTTTTGTCCGTTTCCAACCGGTACTTTCAAAACCTTTTTTTTTTAACAAACGATACCGGTTCTCAATTCAACCGGTCCAATTTAACCATGTGCATAAACAAATTGTCAACCGAACCAAATTGTTTCGAATCCCCACTTGGATTCCCCCCACAAGATTCACAAAAATCCCCAGCAAAAACAAACCCCTGCACTATGCATTAATACACATTTCACCCCAACACCCCCTACAAGATTAACAAAAATCACCATTATCAGCAAAAACAAACCCCTGCATTATTCATTATTACACATTCAACCACCGGCCACCACCACCACCACCACCGGAAAACGAAACTAACTTCACAAATTCATCAAGATACCAAGCTCATCCCTACTAATCTCCCGTTGACCCTTTTGCCCCTTCCCCCCGAAAGCCCGCCTCGCCAGAGCCCTCTTACTCTCCTGCAACCTCAATATCCTCTCCTCAATCGTGTCCCTTGCTATCAACCTCACAATTTTCACGTCCTCCTTTTGCCCAATCCTGTGCACACGGTCCATCGCCTGCTCCTCCACCGCCGGATTCCACCACGGCTCCACCAGGTACACCCTCGAAGCCGCCGCCAGATTAATCCCTGCATTCGAGGCCTTGAGGCTTGCCAGAAGGACCGTGGGCCCGTCGGGCCCACTGAACTCCCTGATCACTTGGGCTCGTCTCTTGGCATTCATCGACCCGTCTAGCCTAACCACATCGAAGCCCGCTTCCCTCAGCGGGCCCTCAAGAAGGATCAGCAATTTGCGGAACTGTGAGAAGACGACCGATTTGGGAGGCGAGTCGTTTTTCGCGTCACGAGATGCCGTTAGGAGTTTTAAAAGGGCTGTGGCTTTGGAGGATAGTGTGGAGGAGGAATTTTCGGTGGGTTGGGCTTGAGTCGGGTCTTGGGGGGCTTTGAAGAGGTCGGATTCGGAAAGCGGGTTTCGGCACATGGGGCAGTTGGGCTTGGTTCGTTTGAGGGTTTTCACGATGCAAGGCCCGCAGAAAATATGGGCACAGCATGTTATGATTGTGTCGGTTGGTGGGGATATGCAGATGGGACAGTCGAAGTCCTCGCCGTCTTGGAGCACGGAAAGCAATTTTTGAAGAAGTGTCGGGTTGTTCTTTACATCTGCATGCATTTTTATTTTACGATCAGAACACAATAATATAGAATGACAACAAAAACAAAGATGACTGGAAAAGTTGGTATTTGATTTGTTTCTTTGGTTGACCATGGTTAACATCGAACATCAATGGTGAATACTATAATTAGTCCTATTGTCACACAACTTAATGGAATTGAAGTGAACGAGGAAAACCAAATGCATAAGACTCGAGCCAACTAATATATTGTCCTGCATGGAACTTAAATTATGAAAATCAACTCAAATAGAGACTGAGTCAAACTTAAGGTGAAAGGGGAGGATGGCTGAGAGAAATAATGGAACAAATCAGAAAACAGGACAAAGTATGCAATGAATTAAACTAAATAAAAAGCATGCGAGATTCATTCACAACAAGATGGGAGCACGAACATACCATAAATCAGTTCAATTAGAAAAATTACCTTCAATTTGACTAGGTAGAATTAAAGTTCTGAGATCTTCAGGGCAAAGAGCCATATCCGTGCAGATCTGGCGAAGCCTCACGAGTATGCTAAGAACTGTAGAATAATTCCTCACCATATTTTGATCAGAAATGTAGGCCTTAACGAAATTCCTGGCTTCTTCTTCCATCTGGTCATATATCCTGCGTTCTTTTTCACAGAGGTTCACATAAACGGTCTCTATGCTTTTGGCGGGAAGTCCAATCAAACCTTTATCTTTTGTTCTCCTCAAAGATATGGCTGCCATAAGAACCTGCAAGCACAAATATATTAATTCAAAAGGTGGAAGAAAGAATACAACAGATAACAAATGCATATACAGCGGGCATTCAATCATTCTCACAGACTAAAACAAAATGTGTACAGACAGATTTGGCAATAAGTCACTATTGCTTTGGTAAGTGGACGAAGCATGAATCTAAACAACAATCATCAATCTGTATGTCCATCTAATTTCCAGAGCAAGAGAATGCCCTATAACTTTCCTCTGGACGCTAAAGTCAACAAGCATTCATCAACATTAAACATTATTAGCCCCGTTGTTTCTGAGTTCTGACAGATTAAAATACATAAACATAAATAAATATATATATATACATATATATGTATGCGTTCAGGGGAGGGAGGGGGGAAGGGGGGAACATTTTAAGTTTCATTTTTAACTACTCTTTGGAGGTCAGTTTCCACTCAGGTAAGGAAAAAATCTAGATCCACTGCCAGAGCACAAAACACAAATAGAAGACTCGGGAAAGAGACATAAGACTACAGACAGCTTTATATGTGTTTAACCTGCAGCCGAGAGAAACCCTTCTCATCTCCTTGTGCAAGTGGACGTTGAATCAGACTATTCCAAAGGTCTTTTACCGAAAGAGGTTCGAACTTCAGGAAAGCCACTAAAGAAAACAGATCAAAAGAGTTATTCTGCACGGGTGTCCCTGTAACAGCCCATCTACACTTAGCATTCAGATTGATGACCGCACGACTCTGTTTACTGCTCACATTCTTAATCACATGTGCCTCATCCAATATAACCCGTCTCCACTCAATCTTCTTAATAGGAGTATTGCCCCAATACTGCTCACTGGCAAGTGTGGAGTATGTCGTCAGCACAATATCGTGCTTCTGAAGCTCCTTAGTATCTTTAGTCCGTTCGCCATAGTACATGTACACTTTGAAAACGCCCTTTCTTGTGTGCTCTTCTAATTGTGTAATCCAAGCTGAAAATACAGAAGGTGGGCAGACTATCAGTGTAGTCATCGGGTCTGAAGAAGAAGATGATTTTTCGGTGACAGGTCCTTTTCCCTTTCCGTCAGCGTTAAAATCCCCGAGTTTTCTCTTTTTGGCCGAGTTCACGGCCTTTTTGCTCCCTCTTCCTCTCTTAGGTGCTTTACCACAAAATGCACTATTTTCCTCCTCATTATCATCAGCATCCATATAACCAGAAGAATTTGCAGCGCGGGCCTTATCCAGAGCAAGTAATGATAGCAATGTAAGAGTTTTTCCCAAGCCCATATCATCCGCAAAAATGCCACCCCTCAAAGGCTCAGGTCTTATATCAGTCTGGTAGTTTGTTAATTCATTCACATAAATCCCATTTTTTTCTTCCCAAAATGGAGGCAAATCTTTTGAATTCTCCCTACTAACCAACCACCCCAGACCTTCTTTCTGATGGGGAAAGAGCTCCGACTTTATCATATCTTTTGGCGGTTCTAATGCCTCTGAGGTCCCTTCTTTGCTAACTTTCAAGTCCAACAGTTTAAATATCTCATCCACACTCTTCTCCGCTCCACTACCTTTTTTCTCTTTCACAGCCGCAGACTCGGATAATGTAAAAGACGCGTTGTTTTCTGAAATTAACTGCAACCCACCAATTCTGATTTGTACTTTCACTATCGCAAACTCATCTGCCCTCGCAAAAATGTGGATTTGACAGGGAAGCTTGAATCTACTTCCTTTTCCAGGTGGTTTTGGGACAATACCTATGCCAAATACTCAACAAACAATAAGAATAAAACCCAAACAACACAATAGAGCATTACATTAAATCAATTCGAAACGGTAATGGGTACAAAATTTCAGGAAGAAGCTTAGCACTCAACTAGTTAAGTACATACAGCAAGATAGAGAGCAATGCATTCTTCAAACATAATGACCAAGAATGCGCGAAAGAATTAAAGAAAATAGCTCAATTGCACTTTAACGCACCACACGCGCGCGCACACACACACACACACACAAACACTTTATTCGTCGGAAATCAAAACTCACCTTCAACGGTGATCAAATTAGCATCGATTAAAGGCGACAGCACTGCCGCCGTGGCCCGCTCGATGTACCCGACCTGCACCGACCTCATATTGAGAACTTTAATGGCGTTCGCGTCGTGCGGGTTCAGGTCGTCGCGGACCAGACCCACCATTTCCCGGCCGCTGATCCTCCCCTCGTAGTAACGCAGCCCGACCACGTTGGCGATCACGAAGCCCACCAGAAGCGTGTCGGCCGGTGGCTCGTCGGCGGCGGGGGACGACGGCCAGGACTCCAAGCTCATGAAGACCTCCACTGGGTCCTGCGATTCCGATTCGACTGCCGACATGGTCAAGAAAGGGATTCTTCGATTGAGAATTGAGAAAAGAGGGTTTTTGCAATTGGAGAAGAAACTGAATGAATAGGGTTTGGTCTGCCTTTTTGGAGCGGTTTGTTTTGTAGCTTTGTAACGTAAAATGATTTTTTTTTAAAAAAGGGTACAAAGGCGGGTCTACAGAAGAACAAGTGTTGAAAAGTGTGTTGTATTAAAATAAAAAAATAAAAAAAAAAAATTCGAGTCAAATTTCAAATTCAAAAGTGTGACATGCCGTACAAATTACTATATGTTGTATGCACACTCAATTCAATATTTATTACAAGTGTCAAATAATATTTTTAGTATTAATCATACTACTATTTTTTTTATAGCTCATATCTTACTATATATTGTCATATATAAATTTGTTTAGTTAACCAATAACAATTTTATTATTTTATAATTAGTTTAATAAAAATTGATAAACGATAATTAGTTCATGTATCATATATAAAACTTCATTATAAATAAAAAGATCATTATGTTTTAAATTATATTTAAAGTTAAACAAGTGAAATTAATAGTACATTGTATAATTTTAATAATTTTTATAGGTACGTGTAAATGTCCAAAATTTACATAGACTAAATATAATATTATAAAGCACCACAACTGGATATTGATAGAGATAGATATTTGTACCGATTCGGCCCAACACGATAAAGTCCCATGAAACAGGGGTAGAGTAACCCATGGGGTCGAACCGAGCCAAAGGGACTCAAGCCTCAACCGGCTTGAGGCTCGACCAAAAGGCGAGCGGCCTGAAGGATCGAGCTTTGACCCTTGAGTCGACTGGTCGAAGGCTCGACCGAGAGTCGACCATCGGCCCGATAGGGTGGGCCTCGACACTTGAGCTGATACGCGATAGCCACGCGGCGAGTCGAGTATTAGCCCACGAAGCTGAGCAACGACTAGGTCATGCTCGGTCAATAGATATTTAGGGACCTAGGGTTTCGAGAGGAAGACAGTACAATTAATCGCTATATATTCCATGGTTGGAAGGTAAGATTCATTTAATACAAACACTGTTGCATTTGTTGTCCATTATTCTCATACTCCAAGATATTGACTTGGGCTTCGGAAGGTCTTGCGCCGGAGCAATTCCAGAGCTTTTGCAAGTACCGGCGCGCTTACGGACTTGGACCACACCGAACCGATAGATCCACGTTTGAATCGGAAAAGACCTTTCAGAAGACCGGAGTCACTCATCTCGAACCATTTCAGATATATATTATGCAACAAAAAAATGATACTTAGACTTGACAAGATTTACATTTGTATATAGAGGAGATTTCATTATCTTCTTATATATATATATATATATATATATATATATATATTGTTAAAAAAATATAAGATCAAATTGTTTTGCAGTTTTCTTAACTGATTCAATTAAGACTTACAAAAATACAATAAATTTAATTAAATAAAAAACATAAAAATGATTTCTTGATAATTAAAAAAATTAAAATAAAACTTAGGGACAAGAGATGATGGGGGGCATTGTAATGTATGCTTTTCCCAAACAAATTTAGAACTCACCAGGGTATAACTGTCATTTTCTAATATGACTAGCAAACATTTATATGACTTAGCTCCTCCAAACTCCATAAACAAAATCACAATAAAAAAAGAAAAAAAGAAGAAAATAGTTAAGCATTTTATTGTTCATGCCATGACTCAAGCTCCTCCTCACAAGAACAAAATTCACTGCTTTTGCTTTCTTTTTCTTTTGTTACTTTTACTGCTAGAGAGTAACTATCCATGTTGTGCTGCTGGCAATGGTAAATTTACCAAAGGTAAAAATGTTTCACTTCATGCCATAAATGCCTTGAGAAGAAGAAGAAGAAGAGCAGCTGTAGATAATAAGAGCAGTAATTCACAATATGTTTTTGGAGATGAAAAGAGGAGAGTGTACTCAGGCCCAAATCCTCTGCATAACAGATAACTTGTAAGTTTTTTATTTTTTTCTATTATTTTTTATTTATTTATTTATTTTTCATGTTAGAAATTAGACTAGCAATGATATATATGCATGCTTGAGCTCTTTTATTAGAATTTAGACTTTAGAGTACATTAAATATTTTTTTATTTATTTTTTAAGCTGATAGCGAATAACTGATTGAATTAATAGATATATATAACCAATTGATTGAATTTGCGGAATACCTAAATATTTGGTAAATAATAAATAATTAGTCGGTTGATATATATTGAATAACTAAAAATTTACAATTCCGTACTACGAAAAAACTCATATATTGAGAATTTTTTTTTTTTAGAATTAGCGTTTTGTATACGTATCAAGCCATTCCGAATAGTTACTTAACAAATGATTCAAATCTCTAGTTTGCCTTTAATTAAAACCTCTAATTAGACCTTTATGATGTGAGTAAATTAATAGTTAATTATTTTTATTTGATTGAGGATGACATCAAAGATATTTATAGTATGGTTTGAATTAACTATAAAATTAAAATGTAATTTATCAATATAACTCAAAAGGGAATAACAATTAAACTATTATTTCAGAGTTATTTAATTAGAAATTTACATTAAACTACGTTCCTATTCAATCCCCCGTAACTATTAAAAGGGAGAATCATAATTAATTGTGATGTATTAGGGAAATGATAAAAATGGGAACTAGTGGTTGAGTGGATAACTGATAATAAATTTTATAGATAAATATATCATAATTATTTTATATTTATTAAAAAAATGGTTGAAAAATATAAATAGAAAAAAGAGAGAAAATTAAAATATCTGAATATAGTGTGTTCTTTTTTATTGGTAAATGAGAAAATTAATTTGGGTATGTGTATTCAAAACCACACTTATTAATCCTACACAAGATTAAAATGTCTAACATAATATAGAAAATATAAATAATATACAAACCAATAAAAGCCACCACTATATATATAGTCTACATATAATATATAATTTATTTAATGGCTATTGCAACACATTGGCCCGACGCCCACATGTGAAGCAAAATAAAACCAGAAATCATTAATAACCGATTTGATGCTTCATATATAACCCCTCAGTGAAGGAAGCAAACAAAATTTGACTAGTGGACAGTCTTATTTATTGGGCTCTATGAATTTTATTTTTTAAATATTGCATTGTATCATATATCTTCTACATCAATATTTGTATTATTTACTTCTTGTAGTGCTATATAGTATAGCTAAGACCACTTGTGAGCTCAATTTGACTCGTTAAGGTTAGAAAATAATTTTTTATATATATAATTTTATTAAGGCCAGCTCGTTAAAGCTCGAATTTGATTACCGACTTGTTTACTTAATGAGTCGAGCTTTGTTCTGTTTGTTAAAGGCTTGAGCTCGTTCAAGTGCCATGAGTTTAAGCTCTACTCGTCTCAGCTTGTTTGCATCTCTAACCTAAGTAATGCAAAACCAAGTTAAATAATTTCATGTAATGAGTATATTAATTAACTCACATATGTATTTCAATTAATGTGTGTTTAGCTTATCTTTATAGGGTCTTAAAATTCAATAAATTGTCCAAACAAGTACAATTCTCCCACAAAGCTAGACATATAGATTTGGCAAAAACATACATGAAAATAGGAATGCCACTTATATATTATATGCTATGGATCAATTATGCATTGTTATTAATGACCTAAAGGGAGGAGAAAATGGGAAAACCAGGTAAAGTAGTTCCAGCATCGACTATGAAGAGGTTGCCCGTGACATGCTCGGTTGAGTCGTGAATCAAATACCGTAAAAGTGATGTTAAAGCAGGATTTGATGTCCCGAACGATCTCAGAGGGACAGTCCTTTGTTCCACATTTTTCAGCCACTGTTTTTCGACTAGGCCTTGTGTTATCTCGGATTTGAATAGACCGGGAGATATGGAATTGACTCGTATTTTGTACGCCCCTAACTCTAGCGCCATAACCTTAAAAATGCCATATGAAATGCAAGGAGCCTTAGATAGGGGAATTAGAAAAATGTAGTTTTTTCTTACAATATCATTGGCATTCTAATAAATATACATTTTTTTTTTCACTCAAATGTTATATTTTTTTTAATACAATCTAAATGAAAGTGTGAAATTTAATATTATAAATATGTTAAAAAAAAGTCTTCTAAATGATAAGTCAATATAATTATGTATGAAAATTCTCCCAAATTTAATTATTCGATGAGATTCTGAATGAGACTCTTTTTGTTCATGCTTCAAAAGTCTCCAATAGTTTCAAAAGGCTTTCCAATTAAAAATTGCAACGGAAATACTTTTTAGAGTTTTGTTGAAATCCTTAACAATAATGTTAGAAAAGTCTTGATTCATTCATGTTACCTTAGTCATTGCGTTGACCGCAGTTTTGGAGCAGACATAAGCGAGTCCGCCGGGCAACTGGCCTCGTTCGAGGCCTGAAATTGAAGAGATGTTGATAACCGAGCCACCATTCTTAGAATCGCGCATTAGGGCACAAACATATTTCGAGACCAACCAAGTTCCGGTTATGTTTGTCCTAATCGTGTCGTTCCATTCATCTTCCGTTAAATCCAATGGAGTATGCACTCGACCTTCAATACACAAGATATACATACATAATATATATATCTCTAATGTGGGAATTGATATATAACATGAATTTATATAAAAAATAAATAAATTGTGAATTGGTTAATCATTTGTTAATAATGATTGTGTGTTATAATTGGGATTTGGGTGATTCCAGTGTGTCTGTCTGTCTATAGGTGTTCAACACTACACGATCACACACTCGTCAGGGAGAATTTTCGCATTTTTTCATAAAAAAATGTGCGATTTTATGGTGTTGACGTCTCTATGTATGTAAATTGTTAATATAAAGAAATGAAATAATCGAGAATATCGAGTAACTCATCAAGCCGCTAAAGTAGTTAAAGTCGTGATGCATCCCGAATGGGATGGGTGCTATAGAGAACCCATTTATTCAATATCTCCAATGAAAATTATGGGAAATGCTACAGTCTCGTTACGAAACCATTCCGTCGGGGGTTGCAACCGTTAGATCATCATGTCACCGCCAATGATAGTTGATTTAACGGTTACAAACCCTCCGTAATGGAACCGTAGCATCTTCCAAATATTTTATGGATCAATTTATAATCTTCCAAATATTTTATTTCTATTGTGGATATATAGTAGTAATTGGTGTTTATGTTGATAAACATATTCATATTATAAAATGCTAAAAATAAACAAGGCCTAAGAGCATAGATTAGAGAGATAAGATCTTATGTTCTAAAAATGTTATTCGATATTTATGTTTCATTTAATTAGATTGAACAACATGTATCATAATAATCCCACTTTTATACTCACATCGTTTATCCAATTAAATGAAATATTAATTGAAACACTATTTGAAAACAAGAATACAATGAATTATGAGTAGTGAATTAGAACAATGACTTGAAACATTCAACTTTGAATGCACTTAATTAATAAATCTGAGGACATGAAA